GGGGGGAGGGGGGGGGGAGGGAGAGGGGTGGAAGTGAAGGATTTAACGGGATTTTAAGAGTGGAAGCAAGTGACAAATGAGGAATCTGCGTACTGAGTGAACGACGCATCTGCGGGAAAGGGATTATGGTGGATGACTAGCATGAAAGCCCCCCTGCCCATTGTATTTAAATCCCGGATTAAGGCAAATGTGTGTGTTGCAAACATCAGTCTTTCAGCTTTAGTCCTTTTCTTCACTCACAACAGCTTTCATTGAACTCTTAATTCTAAATCTACCATATCTACTCTGTTTCAGTAAAATTTAAACTGCTTATTGAATAATATGTTTGATGGAGAAATAGGTATTAATGTTGGTAAATTTCAAGTCCTGTTCTTTTATTAGTTAAATTGATTAGTTAGAAGTAGGTAATACAGTATTTTCATTGAAATAATACTATATTAACCTTAAGTCGACCATGACAGTCGCTTATAAAATTAAATAAGTATGAAGAAAATTTCTTAATTTGAGTTATTATCAGATAAAACTTTCATTAAAACTAATTTAATAACGATAGCCAAGATATATTCTTAAAATGAACAGTGGCCAAAGATATGTGCAATGTGCGCTAGTAAAAGGTAAAGTTAACATAAATTTTAAGTCATTGGGAAATAACAAACTCCCTTTTCAAGACTGAAATCTTTCTTCTTTACCAACTCCTTCGATTTCCTTTGACCCCGACGTTTATATGTTATGATCAAAAGTAATTTCCATCCAAAATTAGGATATAAATAAAGCCGTTAAGAGGTAGCCTTTCTGCCACAAGAAAGCAGGCGAGGCACTAATGGGAGATTGTAAATTTCCTCACAGACTGGACAGAAAATGACATGGTAAATGCCCCCTTTACTTGGTTCCATCAACAATATGTGAGTTTCGATAATTCCCAATTAATTGCCTTGTTTAATGTTTTTGTTTAAAGTATCCTGAGGCAAAAATAAAAGAAGAAAATCCTCAGAGAGGAGGAGATTTTAATACGCTTCTTTTGGTGAGGGAGAAGGCAGAAGAGCGATCTCAAGGGATTTGAGTCTTCAAAGCTTTCCCAAACAATGACCGTAATAATGAAGGGGAAAATTGCTTATCATCTATGCTTTTTCCATGCATGATTAATGTTTTTTCAACTGAAATTAAGTCAAAGTTTTCCTTTAATAGTTAGTTATTTATCTTAATTGCTTGCATATTATCTTTATTATTGACTTCCTATTCAAAATGAAAATTTAATAATCATGTGCTGAATCCAGATTACAGCGTCATTCATAATTACTTTGGTACAAATTAAATAAATTAGAGAAGATTATTTATTTAAATCGCTTTTAATATTACCTCTGTCAATGGATACGCTGATTACGCAAAGCAAAGCTGAGATGAATCAACTGAGTTAAATCTTATAAGCTTTGCGTGGAAATTATACGAATTTTTTTAACTTCACGAGAATAGGAAACCGTTAAAAATTTCTTAGTGATGACAGGAGGAAGAGGAGTAGGGGACTTTCACGGTTCCCTACAACTCACTCACCCTCATTCCAAAATCGCCCAATACCGCTCATTTGCATATTCGACAAACGCAGCCTCGCTCCGTTTCCGGCCTTGAGTAGTAGTGCTAAAAATTCACTCAGGCAGTACAGTGTGTGTGTGTGCATTTGAGTGTCGAAACGCCATCTCTGTGTTTTGAAATTCAGTACTGGTGAAAACGAATTTAATTTAAATTGACAACTTCCGCTTTACTGGTAAATCTGTTTTAACTACTCCAGTGGGGAAAGAAAGTGAACAGTCATTTGCACCCTCTTCCAATTAAATAAAACCTGTGATTGAGCATTGATTTCTTAATCCTGCTAAATTCATCCACTTCTGTGAATCTAGCGGAACTCTGTGGGGGTGGGGGGGGGGGGGAATAATTAAAGGAGAAAATGTGCATGAAGTGCAAGAGAATGTTAAAAGGTCACATCTATACACAAATGTCTTGAACTAACAGTAAAAATTCATGAAATCGAGGGAGTTCTTTCTAAAATATGGGGTTCAATAAGAGTAGTTAATGAATGATGTGAGGACTAAAGAATTAAAAAATTTCTTTGAGAGACTTGGAATGTAAATAAGGGAGGCGAACAAATGCCTACCAAGGTGCAGAAATGCCTTCCAGCGCACTATGTGTAAGAAATGTTGTCTCTGCACATCTTGCTATCATTGAAATTCAGTGATAATTACAAGAATAAACTATAATGAATGTAAGACATCATTAGCAACCCAAAATTTACCATTTTGTTGTCATACAGAGCATCTCTATAATATGCTCGGTGCTTAATTGTGGGACTCGGACGAAATGAATTAATAGAAAGTCCTACCTCAAAGTCAGGCACCAAATAGTCTTATTTCATTAGAATCCGAAATTTGGTTTGCCAAATATTCACTAACTGGGCAGTCATCAGTTAAAAAATGCATACGTCATTTTGAGTTTCGTGGATTTTAGTAATGGATTAACCAGAAAAACAAGATTTTATTGGGTGATTTTTCTAACCAAAAGAGTTAGTTTTGCGGCACAATCCTGTTGTTTCACTTAGTGGTTCAGAAGGTGGAATTGTCTCAAGCGTTATTCACCAACGTGATATATCTACAAAGTCAAAGTAAGCAGAGCTTCTAAATCGTGTTACCTCGTCGTGAATGAAGTTGGTAGATCCACAGTGCAATAACCAGTTTCTAGCTGCATCTCATAATCTACTATAATAGAAAAACGAATCTTGGCATTACTAACATCTTCGTTAAAAAGAAATGTAGTGATCAGGAAGACTGAGAGTGCTAGTATATTGATTCACGGAAAATTTGCAACATAGATAGGGCAGATTAGAGTCTTTTGAAAGCATTGTCAATATTGATTTTACTACTCTAAAGATCATTAAAACCCTGTGCTCAAATTCACAGTTCTTAATGCTCGTAAAGTAAAACTTGACTAACAAGACGAATTAAGTTTGAATTTGTGCTGGAGTTTCGAATAGAATTCTTCCTCATGCACTCATTCACCCGGTCTCCCTCCCTTTCTCTTTCTGTACTCCCTACTAAGCTATCTTAATGGTAGTGGTGGAGTTTGAAATTACAATTTTTCGATTTTCTTGCTTAATTGAACTAGACTCCAATGTGGAACAATGCTTTCTGGCAAAAATTTGTCACTTTTTCTCGGCTTTTTACAGTATTTCTTAATACGTACTTCCACAGGACAGAAGTTACCTCGACTTTCATTCGATAGAGAAATTGTGTTCGATAACTGATAGTTTTCCCCAAAGACTTCATCAGATTTGACAGTAATCGGCGATGCCATGATATTTATACAAAACGCTGGCTAAATATGTACGAGACTGCTCTATGGGGAAGATTGTTCATTTATTTACCAACAGTGGGCTTAAGTCCACTCTTTCAAAACCACTGGACAGTTGATGTCATTGACATGCAGGTTGAAAGCGTATCGTCTCCACTTCAGTCAAAACATTAGAGATCAGCCAAAATATACGTTTAAGAGGTGCAGCCAATCATTCCTAAGATGTGTGAAGTGTGAATATTTAATAGTAATAAAATGCGATAAATTAGCTTCTAGGACAGTGTGTGTTATCAATGAACTTCTGGTCTGAAGGCTATTTATTTCGGAGTGCAGAATGTGGAGGTTAACACAAGCCTTCGTGATGAGTTTATAAGTGGGGTGTGTACGAATGTTTACTTACTACAAGGTCGTTTCTATATGTTTGGTCTGCGAGACATTTCCAATTCCACATCAAACACCACTAATATTTCACGAAATTTTAACCTAGAAAACTGAAATAGGCAAATATTCAATTTTGTGAATAAGTTTTAATGGGATAAGAATGCAGGGTGGTAAATATCCGCCGACATTTAAGTATTTAAGGAAGTGGTAAGTTGTAATTCCGCAATGGAGATTCACAGTATTTGTTTGATAGGCATTACTTAAGTGCGTAATTTAATTAATACAAAGAATTTGGAGCAGAAACTATTGATGAATCCCGATGAAACACCTAAGATCTAAACAAGACCCCATTTCCAGCTTTATGGAAAGAAGTAAATATGCTAAAACATTGCTTATATTTTAACCTAATGAATTGATTCGTGGTTACCAAGCTGAAAGCTGCTTTTACTAATTATCATTATATAGTTTCAAATTCCTATTAATAATACTAATTCTGTCTCAAGAAAAGGCTATATATTTCGAACACCACGGGTGAGCATTAGGGCGAGAGAGACGTGAACATATTCTTCGTGGTGGGGGTGTTATTTTCCATGTACTGCTCAAATATTCAATCGCAATAATTTAACTCCCCAACTTATGGATAAGACTTTGACTATAGTGTAAGGAACCTGTTCACCGATTTATTCAAAGTCAGGGTGGGTTTCATCACCTCAGTTAGTTCGAGTATTCTTACATGGTTTTGCATAATGAAATCCTATTGACGTCAATTGGTCATATTTATGAATATTTCATCTAAGTATATTTTTTTCGCAAGAACTGCATTACAGCGCCATATTACGAAATTCTGTCATTTACCTCACTCGCTTAACCATTCCTAATTCAAATTGCCCAGTTGCTCTGCCATAGCTGAAATATTGTCATTAGAACAATAGCAGTGCCAGGAGTCAGATCAAGTTAAGCCTAGTCAAGGTCGATAGAGGGAGAATAAATATGAGGTGTTGTGTTAATACATTCGAACACCTATTTTCTAGCTTATTTGGGCTAAAGTTTCATAGTTCCTCATTATCTACATTTATGTCCTGGCTGTTCAATTTTACTTGTGCGGTGTTCTTTAAATGAAGCGTTAAAATTGGAAAATTCAAACCCAAACACTGGGATACAGCTTACCTGAATAACTCGCATAGATAGACCTGTTTCTTGAGCCAGTTGTTCGCGAATATGTCTAGTGGGTTTGGGTGTAGCTGCAAATGCCTGTTTTAAAGTGTCCAATTGTTTGGCCTTGATCGTAGTTCTTGGTCCTCGTCGCTTTGTAATGATACTGCCACCCTCACTCTTATCGCCCTGAGCAATGTCCCCTGAGTTTAACTCGTTATTCGTAATGGCTGAGACTGAATTCCCATTTGATGCTGGACTTCCGATCGAACCGCCCTCCACACCGGATGCAGCTTTTGAGATACTGTCGGCGTCAATTTCATTAATGTCAATCCTGCATTCCTCGGATCGGTCATCACCCTCGAGGTTGCTTGCGTAGATCGGGGAGTCAAGGTCGCACTCCTGTTCTGGCTCGCTAGGAAGAAAGGTACCTAAGCCTCCATCTGTTGAGCCATAGGAATCCTGTTGTTCATAGTAATGGCCATCTTTTGCGTGGATATCTGAAATAAAAGTTCAAATTGTTGCATTACTTAAAAGTAGGGCTATGTATTAAATACGCATTTTGCAATTGTTTTGATGAAATGATTTGCCTTAATTTTTGTTCTCACTGCCAATCTGGCCGATTTAATTCATGAACATTTTATTTCCAACCCCATAGCTTTTTAATTGTCAGCCATTATTTTAAACAGTTTTATCTCACAAAAACCCCTCTGTTCTCCTTTTGACAGAGAACCACCCCTATTAAACTCAACAAGAGCTCAGATAAATGCTTTCAGGGATTGGCCAATTTTTTTATTACCATTGAGTTGCCTAGTAGGGAAAGGGGAGGGGGGTTCAATAACACTCATTGAATAAACAGGCGTTGCTATCCATGAGCAATGAAATTAATAAAAACTCAACCTCTTCACTCCCCCCCCCCTCCCTCTACTAACCCAGAAAATAAATCACATTCTCTTCTAAATCTCTTAGATTATCAATGATTAACTTTCGAGATATATTTTAAGTCTTCAAGCCGGTCAATGGATTTTTAGTGTTAGCTAAAAATAGTGAAATCCCTAAATCAGGAAAGGATATGCATTATCCTTCTATGGTTGGTCTATCTGATCGATGATGGCATTCCAATTAGCGTTGAACCGGTGTTACCTGATATCACTCCGTCAGCGTTGAAATATCAACTCAATAAGATAAATTTTGTTTAAATAAATCACCTGGTTCCTGTTTATTGTCTTCTTCAAATGGACTCTCAGGAATGCTGATTGGACACGTCCTCTGCCCACTGCGTTTTGACGGAGTTAACGAAGTTGGCGGAGCCTCGTGTTCCAAACAGACAAATCGAACACCATCACCAAGAGGTCTGCATTCATCGCCTGTGGACAAACATCGAGCACAAAGTACGCAACGCACGCAGTCAGCATGATACGCCACTGAACCAAGGATTCGAACCATGTCTGTGGGATGAATAGTTTCGAGGCAGGTTGGACATCTAGGGCTGAAGAGTCTATAATAGGAAGAATCCAGAAATTATGCAACCTTTTTATTTCAAATATCCACCATCATGCAAACACTAATCTAAGAAAAGATAAGTGTAATTACTGCATTTAAGCCAGTGTCGGATTCATTATGTTAAAACTGGTTCCAATGTAAATTTTTCAGAAACTATTGATGAAAACTAGCCTTCTGCCACCCCTTTATTGAAAGGAATTAATAAGTCCGACTTCAAATCCTATCTCTGATGACAATCGAACTCATAATTTCTAACTTAGTGGACAAGTCCATTGACTGCTAAGGCACCATCAAACCCTGTATCGCCATTTCTTTGGACGATTGGCATTTAGAATTTTTTAATTAAATTATATCAGACCTATAATGAGATAACCTCCTTCATTAAACTACAAGGAAATATAATTGAATAGGAAGGCTAGATTTGTGGAAACTTAATAATCACATGGGAAAATCAATTTTCTATCTAAATTTTGCATTTTGACAGATTTTACTGCCAATGTTCAGCAAATAGGAAGACAACTTTTAGACAATCAAGTTTTACAAGGAGTAAATAAGAGTAGAAATATGGTCAAAACTATCATATGAAGTAACCACAAAACTAAAAAAACTATAATTTATTGTTCGTTTGATTAAACAGGAGTGTCCATTTCGAAGTTTAGTTTTGGAAGGGTGGTATTACTCTCACTGCCTAGTCAACTGACAAGCGTGATCAAAAAATATAATCATGAGGGTGTCTAGAATAAGTATGTGTCTGATAGATGTAGGTGTAATTTAAACACATCTACATAGGGGGTTCTTTGTAGTTAAACCGCCGACCCTGTGTCTGTTGTTTGTGTGATATGTCTTGACCAGGAACTAAAAAGTGCAGAGAGAGAGAGAGAGATCAAGTGATTTACTGGTGTACATTTAAAGCGTCCGTTTAGGTACACACACACATACACATACACACACGCACAGAGGTTATCCAACTGTCGGGCCTGTAAATGCTATTTTATGATGTGAAAAGAAAAAGATCTCAGTTCTCTCTATTAAAATTATTTTAGGATTTCGTGGGTATAATGAGGGAGCGCAAACTTAGAGGATTATCATCGAAGTTTCAAGCCAATGCCTGTTGACAGAGCTGAAGATGATAGATTTCATAATCTGATGAACAATTCCATGCTGCAATCTAATTACGTAAATTAATCTCGTCCTGTTCTTAGAGTAATATCACTGTGACCTTTTAAGAAGTGCTGCGAATTTGGGAAAAGTAGAATATATGGCTACTGGTAGGAAGGAAACATAAGATTATATTCAATGCTATACCTTCAATATAAACACTATAGTAACCCCATTAAGGGATCTTCAAACAGGTGGGGAGCATTCATAAATTGGGCGGTTGGTGGGAACATTTCTAAATAATAAGCAGTTAATATATTTTATAAATAAAACCTATTAACGAGCGGTTTTCATCGCAATCAATTGTTAACTTAAACATTTAAATTCAGAAATTAATACAATATTGTCTAATATCGTTCATTTAACATTTGATCAGGGGAATTTATTTATTTTGCCTTCAAAAAAGTGGATGTGTTTACTACAAATTGTAAATAGAAATTTCGCTTAATATTAAAATATTTTCATTTACAAAGGGCAATTATGAAAATTTTTTATTAATGTAATATCATTTTCTGACAATTGTTTAGATTAACTGTAAAATGACCAATTGCAAACTCGACACGAGAGCATACCTGATAAAGTCATTTCTGCAAAAGTACTGCCCATTTCGAAAGAAACACCGATCGATCAGTTGAATACGACAGACAACACACCGAAGACAATCCTGATGCCATATTTGATCGTCAATGCAAGGGTAATACTTGTCCATAATTGGTCTCTCACACCCAACACAGCAGTTAACAGAGCTTGATTGATGAGTTTTCATGGTAGAGCAATTGCACTAGAAGAGAAACCGTCTTGATTTTTTCAATATATCGAATAACTGCGTTTGGAATTAAGAAAAGTTATAAAAGTAAGTTATGACCAGGGAAAGCGGACATAAGCGGAACACATTCGGGCGAACCAATCATATGTCAGAAGTAGCTTGTGTTCCGATTGGTTATAGCATTTGGCGTTACACATAAGCTGGGAATTGGGCAGGGAAATTGACCAATTCGAAAAGGAGATTAATATTATCAATATACTTGAGTCGTTTTAATTACTGAATATTGTTGACATATAGATAAATTTTTCAAATCCTTATTAACTTCGAAAACAGGTGAAATACAAGTTCGTATAGTTCAAGTAAATAGCAGTCACTAAAATGTAGGAGCTTAATATAGGAAATTATACTCAAATAAGTATTTATCTTTTTAAAGTTTTTGATAATATAAATTTTACGAAATGAGCAGTCCGTGTTACTCAGTTTGGGTCATTATTTTTGCTTTTGACAGTAATTTAATGTTTTAATCAAGATGCTTCAAATAAAATTCCCGAAGCTTTGCATTGGAGCAGTCAGAGGCAATAGAAAAAAAGCTACCTCCGTTCTGGAAAATTAGTTATACTAGACTGACAATATTAATTAGGAAAAAGACACATTTTTTAAAAAAAATAAATGAATGAAACGCGCAAACAGCCTATACGTACTTACCATTTTATTTGTTGGAAATGGAAGTTAAGTACTACATAAAATTTTTACTGATTTTTGAAAGTAAAAGCATGCCAAAAAATAGTAGAATACTTATTTGGATTCAAAAATTATTCAAAATTGACGTTCTAACTTTTTTTGACAATTTTACCCATCCGGAAATTTGAAGCGTACATTTCCCCTTCTCCTTCAAATCAATCGCTTTGTCATTTCGAATATACAAGCAAATCATATCGTTGAATTAAAAATTATAATTTCTAACGTGAATGAAAATTATTTAAATACATAAAAATTAAATTAACTAAACAAAAAATTAATGTCTGTTCATATCATTTATATATTTATATCAAATGGCAGGCATTTTGATATTATCATTAGCTCTTTAGTTGACTTCAGGCTTCATAGAAGGGAAGGAACATCAAATGAAAAAAAGTTGGGAGGGGGGGGGTGGAACAAAAGAGTGTTTCAAAGATGTAAAAGAGACAGACACAAAGGTAGAAAAAAGGTGAGGTGAGTACTGGGGAAGTAGTCGAATATGGCATACAGTGGGGTGATGGTAGTTTGGAGTCAGAAGTCAACTGATGAGTATGAGTATGTGTTTCCCAGGGTGCACCGCGTGGAGGTAAGTCTATCGCACACCCCGTGTTCATATCATTTATTGAGTAAATCTTGAACAGTCTCTTTTTATATTTGATTGGCTTTAAGTGAAACAAATAATATAAATTTTCATTGTTGTATCTATAGCTAAATCACATATCATCTTTATATTAACACTGGTTAGCTATATTCCCTGAAGGTTTTGAACCGTACAATTTATGACCGTTTTATAACAATTTTGTTTGTTAGCATAATTTCTATTTAGGATTCGCTGTATTGGCACTTTTGTATAAAAATTTTATCAGATATGGTGAATTAAAAAAATAGGCATTCTAGTGAATCATAATATTCTTAACTGTTGGTGCACAAAAAATCCGCGAACAGTGTTTACACCTGTAATCAATAATAGTTTAATCGAACTTCTTTTGCTTGACATTTCGTCACAACATTCAGCTTTCTTGACTTGAAAGATGAAAATTGCATTGAGGTGGCAGCATCAGACATCATGTGTAATCAACCAATCAATAAGCACTGGAATTGTGAGCATAATTCAATCAGCAAATCCAACTTGAATTTCTGCCAATGAAGAACTATTAATTAAAAAAACACTTTTTGCTTATTTCTCTTAAATCACTTTGCCTCTGAAAGCTTTTAATTTCTTTCACTTGGTTGTGAGACCCTAGTATACTCTAATAAACATCTCGACCGAGCAAATTGTAGCTAAATTATTTCGATAAACCTGATAAAATCACATAAATGCTACCTATTTGGCAGAATTTTAATTTTCACTTTCTTTTTAAAAATTCATAGAAATTACATTATCACTATCTTCTTCGTCTTCAGTCGGCAAAACTAATTTTCTCATAAGTCTTCAGGCATCGGGTTAAGTCAGGTTGCTAAATCTTCTCTCACCTAGGCCGGAGAAGCGCCAGATGTTCGGAAATGACCCACCCCCCTGCCTCCTTTTTGCAATTTATCGCTTCAATGAACACGCTTAGCGGGAGATTTAGGGCCAGGGAATGGTGTGTGTGAGAGAGAGGGGGAGAGGGGGGATTGAAGGGGGTTACGCAAAAGTTCCACAACACCCCCTTCTTCTCTTGACCAGACGTCCTTTTGCGACTTTTGACTTTCCAGCCTCAACCAAATTGACATAACATATTATTTAATTTGAGTAAAAACGAAAGGACGGAAATAAATGCTCTCAAATATAACATATCCATCTGCTTAGACAAGATTCGTGTTAAAATCGAATGTCTACAAAATCGCCTGAGAGTTTGTCAGCCCAGATGACTTATGTGTAGAATAGAAAGATGAAATAGAAAGGAGACGCCTAATAGAAATTCATAGTAGAAACGCAGTTCGTCCCATAATTTTGGAGATCGGATTAAGTTGGGTTCACCTGACTCCACTTCAACCACTAAAATACGTCACCCATAAAAACTACCGTACCCTCTTTTGGTGAACTTCCAATTTCAGTATGTTTCATTGGCTCTTCATCAAAGCTTGATAAGAAATGAATTATTATTTATTTATTTATTTATATTAAATGGCAGGCGTTTTGATAGCTATCGTTAGCCATTTAGCTGACTTCAGGCTTCACAGAGGGAAGGGTCATCAAGTAGCAGAAAGTCGAGGAAGGGGAGCAGAAGAGCGATTAAATAGCAGAAAGTCGAGGGGTGGGGAACAGAAGAGCGATTCATAGCAGAAAGTCGAGGAAGGGGAGCAGAAGAGCGATTCACAGATATAAAAGAGGCAGACAGCCACAAAGGTAGAGAAAAGGTGAGGTGAGTACTGTGGAAGTGGTCGAATATGACATACAGTGGGGTAATGGTAGCTTGAAGTCAGAAGTCAACTGCCAGTTAATAAACTGTTTGCCGTATGAGTATACGTTGCCCAGGGTGCTCCACGTGGAGGTAAGTCTGTTGCGCACCCCTGATAAGAAATGATGATAGCTGGAAAGTGATTTGGATCACAGAGGCTTTATGCAACTTGTGCAGTTGCAAGTTTAATTATGTAAATGTTTAATTATAAAAAATATGGAGAAATAAACGTTAAACAACATATCTTAAGTTGACATACAAATGAGATGCACTTTTTAAGGGGTCTTCAAAGCTCATAATTTCTCTGTTTTAGTAGATTAGCAGAAGAGCAATTTTACCAGTATGAAAAAATGGATCCTGCAGACAATTGAATGGTAATCTCCTAAGTCCATTGCATAGAAGCAAAGGAGTGGGAAATTAGAGTTAATTTGTTTGGAAAGTCGAATTTCAAAAGACTTTCATTCAGATTTACCCAATGTGGTTGGGATTCCACTCACGGGGTGTAAATCGATGGGTATCAGCCACAATCTCTGACTTCTTAGACAAGCACACTTAACACTGCCCATTTTTTCATGTACATGTCCCTCCCCCCCCCCTCTTCCCCTGTGCTCAAATGCAACTTCAGAGAGTAAATATGAGGACATTCTTGGGCAAACGCTTGGACCATTTATGGCTTAAAAATGGACAACTCGCCTCAAGGAAATGATTTAAAATACTCAAAATTGCACACATGGAGAAGACGATGTGAGTTAGTGGGAGGATGTACCGAAAGGAGCCTAATTGAAACCGCGAAACTGGGTCTGGCAAAGAAGTGGGATAACTCCCCCCCCCACCTCAATCCAACTTTGGGATAATGCGAATTTAATTTATACCAAGATGGATATCAAGTAACAATTTGAGTGAGAAAATGTGAGTTGAGAATATACAATAGAATTAACTGTCTAAAAGGGAGCAGATATTGCGGAATTACTTCTGAGAGGTAAGTTGGGTTCATAGGCTAAATGGAATAAATGTGGTGAGAAAAATAATTAAAAAGGGTTGTTTGAAAATCGAATTTTTCGAAATTCGTACACTGTCAATATTTACTGACCACTAACTATTAATAAAACAAAAGAAATTAAAAATAGCCTCCAACGGTGAAAATGCTCTACCATAATCAGAATATTGAACAAAAATCATCACATTCTTTTATTTACCCTTCACTCAAATTTACCCACGATCTCCACAATGACACCTGAAAATTGAATGCATTTGCCCAAGTATGTTTAGTTCCTATTGCTTAGAAATGGCATTGTTAACCTGGTCCCGCTAAAATTCTAACTAAGACGCGCATTCGTCTCAACAAAACGAAACCCCTCATCTTTATTTTTAATTAACATTGAAATGTTTGAATTAGGATTCATGACAAGACTGGATCAAGAGTGATACGCATTGGCTAAGCATGCCCCTTTCAAAGGCAATGTAAACTTTCATCGATTATTTACACAAATGCCAATGCTGTGCACTGAAACATCGAAAAACAAAAAGCATTTCGTTACCGATAGATAAGCACGTTGACAAACTTATCCTGCCTCTGGTTGAACAGTTTGCAATAAGACAATTGGATGCCAAATTAATCATCCCAGCGAGATATCTTAAAGTGAGTAAGCATGGATATTACCAAGTGAATGAATCAATAAACCACCTTTTTTCAAACACGTATAAGTTGGACACCAAATTACATCTCCAAATCAAGGGCTTATGTTTCTTCGAGTATCTGAAGACGTCTACTCTCTCTCATTGTTCTTGAAAGGTGCAATCGCTCTATAACCGATATTTGAGTTGCCTGCGCATGTTGCAGTCAGATGTTTTAGAGCAGTTTATTTCCAGATAATGTGAAGAAAAAAGATGGATTTGATTTTTTTGTTAAGAATTAAATTGTCTGACCCCAAGGCATAAAGGTAATGTGGAAGATGAACATTTTAAGACGCGTTCCCTTCATCAGGGTTTGAACGCCTGTCGGCAAAGCCAGAGTCATTATTGAAATATATATGACTAAGTGCTCACAGTCTACCAAGATCAATTTTGGCTTAGGAGAAAATTAAATCGGTAATAGGAAGTTAATCGGCGCAGCAAAAATTTGATGACAAAGTAATAAAATTCCATTTCGACTGAGATTTTCGATTCACTAATGAAGAATTGTTACAGTAACTCCAATGTCCAGGAGCATTTCACTTGAAGCACATTGAAGCAAATTGAAAAAATTGCTAAAGAAATGGTCATATAGGTGAATTTTAGTGTCAACAAATTCAAAACTAGGCCTGAAATCCAAAGATTATCGTTCACATTTATTTATCCGAAAAGGGCAATTTTTAAATAATGACAATGTCTGACCAAACATGAATGACCTCCCAAAAATCAGCAAATAATTTAAGGGGTTTCGACACAACTACCCTATTTGCCAGACCTCGCCCCATCCCAACACCACCTCTCTAATAATCCTCAAATGAATTTTGAAATAGGCGAGACGAAAACCACTGGAGCAAATAATTTCCAGAATGAAAGTGAAAAAACTACAAGCTACAATGTGAGAGTTGCAAATTGTATTATGCCGCATCATACACATACTTAAAGACAAAAAGTAGCATTTTAATATTTTAAAATGCTGGATGCCTTACAGATATCTCCCCCCCCCCTCCCCCCTACTCCCATATCTACACTATGGGAGGGCGGATGATCTACGCTCATACGCCTTAGTTTCCAGATAGGGGGGTGTGCGATAGACTTACCTCCACGTGGTGCACCCTGGGCAACGTATACTCATACGGCAAAAAAGTCTATAAACCGGCAGTTGACTTCTGACTTCAAACTACCATCACCCCACTGTATGTCATATTCGACCACTTCCACAGTACTCACCTCACCTTTTTCACTCTACCTGTGTGTCTGTCTTTTACATCTTTGAAACACTATTCCGTTCCCCCCACCGTCTCGACCTTTTTTTCACTTTAATGTTCCTACTCCTCTGTGAAACCTGAAGTCGACTAAAGGGCTAATGTGATAACCATCAAATATAAATATAGTTCCCAGATAGGTACCTTTACGTGCTGCAGTGTTTGAGCTTTACAAATCCATGATACAATCAGATTTCATTCAAGTGTAAAACAGCTGCCAAAAAACGATTTCCCCAGTGAATGTAGCAAGTTCAGTTTTAAAATCTTCTGAATGCAAATAAATAAGGGAATTAGCATGAAGGTAGAATTTATTTATTGCAAAAAGTAAAAATATGCCAGGTCAAAATTTCACGACAGAAAAGAGATAACAAATCATGATGCAATAAGTAAAGTTAATCTTCATCGGTATCACTTAAAGCGATTACCTAAAATGAAACAAAAAACGTTTAATGATTTCTTAATTCCTTCTCTCCCCACCCACGTATAACGGTAGAAATGTTCGTAAGCATACATCAACTTACAGTGTCAAAATTGGTCTCTGTACTAAGAGCATTCAGTCCACAAATGACCTCGACATATTTCGGATCATCGAAAACTTGCAAGAGAAAGTCAAATCCCTCAGCTGCGTAAGCATCAAGCACCTGGGAAAAAAACTCATTGTTCCAATGGCTTCATTTTTACATTAAACTACTTAAAAGACTTATAAGTATGTGCAAAAAACGCACCAGCTGAGAGCAGGCAGAACATTTGCCAAAGGCGGTTGTGCAGGGCACTATTTCCGAGAATTGTGGAAGGAAGCCGCGTAATTGATGAGGTAGGAAACTGAAAGTATGAGTCTGATTGATTGCAGCGCGATCTGCAGCGGTCATTCGAGGCTCGGCTGGTGCCTGTGGTCTGAAATGAAAGCAGAAGAAAATAAAATTAGGAAAGAGACAACTAATCGCTTTCTGAAATGTTTATGAGATAATTAAATTAACAAAATGCGACAAAAAGGATAGGTCCAATAAACACTTTACTTAAAACTAAACTACAGAGAATGCCCCGATTAAACTTGACAGCAATACAAAGGAAAACTAAATCGTGGTAAGTAACTAGAGCATTTAATAGAGTTGAAGAAATTCGATAGAATCGGAAATTACAATGCTGTCAAAATGGTTTTCACGCTTTCCACTGAAACGGTTTCAATAAAGGCTTCCGTTCTGTCCACTAATGATAATCCGTGAACATGGTTAATATTTTCAGAGATCTTAAAATCAACAAGATTAGCCGTTCAAGGATTTCATGATATCATTCAAGTCAGAAATTCTCAAACTATTTTAAATGCCAATTTTGAAATCTTACCCTTGGGGGTGTTGCAGAACTCCAACACACAACTCAACAGCCAACGAAGAAGCCATCATTGATACACCTGGGCGAGCAACTGTGCACTGTTGATCCAAGGTTTGATCCCGTTTTGACTAAAGGGAACAAGCAAATCTTCGTATGAACAAAATCTATCCATCGACTTTAGGGCAGAAGATTCATTCCCACTTACATTAGCTGGACCAACAACATCATTACAAAAGTAGCAACCCAAACGGCTCCCCTCAATTTCGTTCGAATTGGGTTCTTTAAAAGAAGGTTCAATTAACGATGGAGATACACCCTGCTTAGTAGGCACGCCATGGCGCATCACCAAAAAAGTATCGAATCCAAGGGCCGCCGTAATAGCCATCTAAACTCAGAATAAATAAATAATAGCTACTGAATTAATTCAAGTAGAGGGTCTATATAAACACTAGAAATATTACCTTGTTATGGTAAGTGCACAACAACGTAGGCAGCCAACGGGCTTCCCGACTATCAAGAAGAAGGAATACAACGTCATGGACTTTAATGAGTTCTTCTAGCTTTTGACAGGCTTCTCGAGCCATTGTAATTTGTCTATTGGCGTCTGGTCCAGCAGACGCATTGGAAACTGCATGGCCAGGCATTGGAATAGTGAAAGTGTGACAACTAGCATTCTAAATAACAAGAAACAAGTTAAACTCTGGATCAATAGCAAAGAGAATAAAAAAAGCACCCGAACTTGTTTTTAATTAATACAATTCCGGATTACATCTCAGAAGCACATTTTTCTTGCTCAACATTTTTTTTTTCTCTTTTTCCCAATTTGCCCGACTGGTCGTCTTCCTTAAACCAGGCATACTGAACGGAAAATTTTTAAATGCGAAGTCATATAGACGCAATTTGCATGTCTACCAATTAAAAGTTATAAGAGTGAGACCTCGAAAAACGATATGCAACTTTCAAAGCCAAAAATGATCATTCGAACAAATGCACTGTAGAATATCTAATCGGAAAATGCAGCTTCGTTAGAGAAACAACCAAAATAAAATGAAATAGACGTTCTTCTACAGTAACCCAAGGAATATTAAGATATTACCATCCTTGCCATTTCACGAGAAATCGAGCACTAGATTTATGCGATTCGTAATGAGGATACAAGGGATACACGAATTCCTTTTCCATCATTTTAAAATGAATTAAGAAGAAGGCCAAAAAAATATAGGCTTGCCAAGTCATCTTCTAAAACTTGTCGCTTGGCATATTGACAAAACGTGTCTCTACATTAAACGGTCTGTCTCTAAGCGCAACTACAAATATGCATGATAAACGACAGCGATACGTTGTTTAAAATATGTTGTGAAAACAAGGCGGTAAATGAATATTACTATGTGATTCTCACATTCAATTCGAAGGAGCCAAGAGATTCTCAAAATTAGTCCAAAGCAAGAGACAAGAAGAGCCATGACATTCTTGCAAACTTTATGCAAAAAAGATCAGCCAAATTAATTCCAGAAACGCAATCTCAAAGAATAAATAGTTGTCATATATATATATATATATATATATATATATATAGTTTTAAATGCAAATTAATCTTACCTTTTTGTTCATATAAACAATGCTCGCATAGTGATTGGGAAGAAACGAAGAAATAAGGTAGGATTTAATGTTTTTCACAACGAACTGAGGTGGATTAAGAGAATAAGCGCAAAAACTCAAATATTCTTAAAACAAAATTCTAATAACAGGGGTATCAATGAAAATCGCGAACCTTAAGAAGAAACCACAAAGATATTAAGCAAATAGAAAAACTTTTGCACAAAATACTACTCACCACAGTGGGAAGAATTCTTTTAATAGCTTCAGCCGCTGCCATCGACTTCTGGACTCCACTTTTAGCATCCTCGAAAGTAAAAAGAGTTTGTCGAACAGGATTCGAGTAGGAGACTGTGGAGTTATCCACAAATGTAATGTTACGACAACCCCAAGCCTAAATATACAAAGGAAAAACGAAATAGGTGGAAATCTATTCGAGTAGTAACATAAAATATTATTATTTTACGCCAACGGCGCAGTGATCAACAGAGGTTAAGGTATCAAAGCACATTTAGTGCACATCGAGTATTAATTCCGGTCAACAGGTCGAGCAGGTTTTGTTAAGTGGGGCTCCAGAATGTCATCTCAGATTAAATTTCAAACAATTGCCACATGAACTTAAGGAAGTGTCATTGTTTTGAAAGGACACAAAACGTAAAGTGTTCATTGACAGAGAATAAGCTTACGAGCAATTGTCTTGCGACATTGCAACCCAAAGTACCCGATCCAAGAATGAGACATTTTGTTTTGTGAAGAACATCCAAATCGAAATTCGGTAGAAATCGCCACAGCATTAGTTTCAAGTTGAGATCTACGGCAGAGTCAGCTAGTCTACAAAATATCGGCTTTAAAAGAATAATGAACAAGACATACTTAACTGGATCCATAGAAGCGCTGAGATTTGCAAGACATGGTTGTAATTTATCATTGTGCTTCTCCCATCCTACAAAATTGACTTCATCACTCAAAATTTCAGGTTGAATTTCGATTTCTAGAATGATACTGCTGGAGATTACACGCTTCTGATTGGTGTATCGATCACGGAAACACAGTACTTTAATTCGACGAGGTTCTTTCCTGTAAAATAAGGAATGGGAAGGGAAGCTTTTAATACAGTGGCAGTCTTATCCAAAGATTTTAATAGCTGTTGCAGTCAATTAACAGTTTTTTTAAGTAATAAAATATTGATTAACACCTGAAAAAAGACTTCTGATATTTAAAAACAGAGTTAAGAGCGTTGGGTTGGCAAGTATAGAAAAAATCTCGACACATTAAAGCGAAAGCCTTAAGAACAATAGGAATAGTCATAGCACTGCCGGATTGACTATAAAATAAATAAGGAAAAAAATGCAAACCCACACGGTGGTGGAAAGTGCATAGAGTAGATTTCGAAGACCCCAACCAGGGTACTCCTCATGACTTGAAGGGTCACAGTAACCAATGTATTGGCTCTAAAAACAAAAAAATGAGTATAAAGGCGGCAACAATGACAGTGAACATGAAATGTAGAAACTATTCATACCTCATCTTCCAAGTCGAGGGCAATGAGGTTGGTGACTTCCAGGCCATCTGCGGTGGAATTCAAACAAAAGAAGGCATCGGAAGACTGTCTTCGCCAGTTATCATAACTCTGAAGGAGAGATGTCATCTACGACACCAAAAAAATAAGAATGAAAAATTAGAAGTACTTCATAGTCTTGACAAAAAACCGATTTGTTTGCAATACAACTTCCGAAATCGTGAAAGCAAAAACCTCAACTCCATCAACGAAATTCTTAGTGATTTCTTCCTTAGAAAAAAGGAGGGATATAGAGAAGTTGCTTGGACAAGAAAGTCATACTGTCACTGCTCTTATTGGCCAGAATATATTTAATATAAACACTGATTTTACAAAAGTTCACAATGATTACTGAACCAACGACAAACATGAATTAAGTGCAAAGAAAGCAAAAACCCATTCCACCGTTTTTTCTTTGATCACAACAACTGATCATTCCCATAAAATCGGTGCCCTCTATGATAATAAGCCAAACGACATTCAACTTAATAAATTGCATAAATTACACAAAGCTCGCCAATATAACTATTTTAGAAATATATCACTCGCAAAGGCAATACCCATTAATTATCAAGCATTCAAAAGAACCGTTCCATTAAAGTGTGCTCAAGTAGAATAAACTAAATAATAGAGGAAACTTGCATAAACTCCAATTTAACAAGCACAAAATGAACCTGAGATTCTGTAAATTCCTCCTCAATAGACGTTTTGACAATAAGTTTTGGCCTATTATTCTGCTTAACAGCCGGAAATGCAAACCAGTAGTAGAATTTGTGATGTTTCAGATCCTAAATTAAAAAAAAGGAATAAATTAGCGACGCAAGATTGAACAAAACAATGAACAAGATAAGATGATGCCTCACACAGTAGGTTAAAAGTGAAAAGAGGAGCAATTTATTAGGACGGCTTAGGAAATCATGTTGAACATTGATAGACTCCTCACAAATATATTGACGGCCAAATTTATTTATGTGTGCCTTTTTGTCCAGTTGTCGGAATGATTCGATCGTATTAAGAACATAAACGTATCCAGCAACATTGAACAAATTTCCACCAGGAGATGCTTCACTTCTAAAAAAGTAATTGATTAGACATCCATGTTGAACAGCAAACAGTAAAACTATAGCAAAAGCCTACTCGTTCATACTAGCGTAATCCAAATTCATTCTCGGAGATACACCAGGAGGTGTACCGTTTGTGAATTGCCCAAATAGTGGGAATGGACCCTCATTAAGACGATAGTATTCTAGTTTCTTCTTTGAAAGGATATGCCAAAAAGTGGTATCAACAACACTATCAAAGGGAACGAAGCAAACATCTGACATTTCGGAACAGCCTGCAAATAAAAAAAACATATAACGCCTTAAACAAGTAGCAGCTAAAATGAAGTAAGCTATTAAAGCGATTTTCAAACAAAATAAAGTTAACGGAAAATGGCTTGGTATATATAGGTATAAGAATTTTGAAACCATCGAAATACGTACAGTTATGATAATGATCCAAAACGAATAGCTTAAAGGTGTCAAAATTAAAAAAAAACAATTTAAGCAATTAGAATAAATGAGTAATAAAACCGTAATTGTCTTACAAACACTCGAGTGCGAAATAGGATTTGTAGAATAACGACAAACCCTATTGGACAAACATGGAATTATTGAAATGTGTGACTAAGTGGGCGTTGGTTAAAATAAATAGCATAAACCTTCTCTATGAATTGACGAGTTTAGTCGAAAATATGACACTCAGATCAAAAGCAAATCATTATAGTCTGTTTATCTGCATCGTTCAATGTTGGGAGGCAAAGTTTTCATTTAATTGTGGATTGAACAAAATTTTGTTAGTTTTTATCTACTCAAGTAGAATAATATTATTAAATCACATACTCTACTTGTCTGTTATTCAATTAGACGCTATTTGTATTTAGAAATAAAACCGATCTGTTTATTTAAGATACTCCTTAAAGTTCTATTACTCTGTCTTCTTATGCTTCATCATATTCACTAAGATTTCGCTCAAAATTATTACTCTAAAATCCAGAAAATTTTTCAGAGACATTCATAGAATCTGCGCAATCTATGCCACATTCCAATTTATTTCCCCTTTTATTTCACGTCGGAAGAAACATACCTCATCTTCATATTGTCTGGTTACAACTGTGAGCAGATAACAATTCTATTTTACCTTGTTTCATTTTTATCGGATTGTCTTCATTGAGTGTTGAACCATATTTTTAAATAATTTTGTACTCCATTTCTTTATTTTATTCCATTCTCACTCACTTCGAATTGTCTATTGTGAACCTGGTTTTATTTATTTCTTGGCATTCTCAAGTAAAGAAATGCGTGCCATCTGCTAGATATGGGTGACCATTAGATCTCTAGATTTGATTTAACCCTTTTTGCAGAATAACTGGAGAGATTGATTAATGGAATGCTAATGAAGCATGCAAACCCAAGCACTTAAATTGGTGGGTACGACTCCTACTTTAGTTCTGTTATCATAAATTCACCTATGGATATTAGAAACCAACTTGTATGTAAATGTAAACAGTAAAATCTTAAAAAATTCACAAATTAACGAAATGCGAAAGATTTTATTGTGATCATTACAGCTAAAATTTTCCAGTCAAGTACAGTAATGTGATAAAAGTGCAGTTAAAAATTTTCATAGAAAATAGCTAAATGCCTATTTATAGAAGCACAAGCAAAAAACGGATTTACGAGTTTTATCGTCGTGTCACTCAAAAAAATTAATTTGCTTAGAACATTTTCTAGGGTCTTGAGTCATTTCAAAGACTGCGATGGCATGATTAAGATTCATATCACAGTTCTGATGTTAACTAAGTAACATTTAACGAATATAATAAAATCTCGACAACCTGATTTCGGTTCAGAAGTTAAAAAATATTAAATTAAAAATAAAGAAATATAACTTGAGCTTTTATTAATTCATATGTTTTCACAAGCTATTGTTTAGCTATGCCAATATAATTATTTTATGTTTGGACCCCGACCTTCACGATAGTCTTAATGTTCGGCTAATGTCTGGACTTAAAATTTGGTCACTGGTCCTTGCCATCTATTCTATTTTAATAAGCAAAGACAGGAATTTACTCTCAGCATCTCATATACCTAATGGAATAAGTAGAAACTTTAACACGTTTGTCAGCGGATATGTTGGTATGTTAGAAATAATTTCCTAAAGCATATATTTAGGTTGCTTATATTCAGACGTCTGTCTCCCATCAGAATCGTGCCAAGATGGTTAGGCTTTTTATTTGCTTGACATGCATTTAGATGAATTATTTGGGAAATGTGTTGATTCGGATTTTGATGGAAGGATGTATACATTAGCTTATGAAGAGCAAAATCTCCTCCGAAACCTCAGATATGCTTTTCATCGCTTTGGATTAGATTTTGATAATAAATATGTCCAATGTGTAATCCGGGGATTGATTCTAAAATTCAGGTGATTTGTTATGAAATAATTATCATTATATATTTGATTTCAATAACTTCATTTTTCTATTTTTTCAAAAGACTTCAAGATAGGCAAATGAACATTGTCGAGTTGTGTGGAGAAACGCCTCTTATGGTCACAGATTTTCTTTCTTTTGAAGAGCCACTCTTCTATGAAGATAACAGTTTTCTTTTAACCGACAATGATGCTCGCGATGATGAACAGTTTTCACCAGTCTCTAAAGCCCTTAATATCGATTGGAATCTTTTACAAAATGAAAAATATAATGATCATGAGGCAAATTCCACTGGATTAAACCAAGACGTAATTGAAAAGCCCCGGCATCTCAACCGAGAATCGCAATCTTTAGTTCAGTACTTCAAGTCCTTATTTGAGGATGCTAATATTGGTTTGTTAAATCACCTTCTTTATTCTGTATAGTTGTATTTCCTTCTTAAGAATGTTAGTTTTAGCAGTTTGAATTACTTTACTTCAAGATGTATTATTAGATAGAGCTTCTTTCGAAATGTCTAAATTCATAGGTTTAAAATAATATGAATCAGGAAACCAGAGGCCTTATTTATTCGGTCTGGTTTTAATTACACAAATGGAGAAAATATGATGTATATATCATTTTCCAAATTGACTTATTCTTTGAATAGCTAAAATCTATGTTGATCTGCTCTTACAAATGTTTTTTTTGACCTAATGGGATACTCTTACTATCACGGTTGTTAAAATAATAATTATACTTAAATTATATGAATCCTCTGGTATTCTGGACGTAAGTGTTTTTATGAACTCACTAGCACTACATTTATGTTTTTTTGTTTTTGCAACTGCACGGTTTTCCCTCTAAATACTCCGTTCATAGAAACTTCTCTTAACGCTCGGATTAAGTCTGCCGTTTATAATTGCATGCGAAATATGCCAATATCATCAAAATTTTTAACCAAGATACTATGTCGAGCAAATATGGCTCATCCAGTGCATTGAAAAATATCAATTTATTTAAAACAATGTTTTCTCAAAGATGTTATTTGGGCAGGGTATATGCTATTTAAACTGTTTTCCATCTCTCCTCAAAATCTCTTGATCGCACGAATTTTAAACAAGACATTCGCTTTATGTTTTTCTTTTCTAAAGTCTAGCATTTCTAAAAACCGTTTGAATTCAACTGAGAAAAAAGAATTTACATTTTACGGAGTTGTAATTCGTTGCGAATGAGGTCTTGAAATTACTAAATAAAAATAGCATTAAATTGGCTCATTAAATCAACTTTAAAATAAAAAAAATGCATGAGACAAAATACCTATGAATTACTACTGATTTGAGGTTTGCCATTATAAAACTTTTCTTTTTTGGAAATTGACTTTTCTTCATTCAACATCTTCAAATTTTGATTGATCATGCATTTAATGCGTGAGATCTCACTGTGTGGGACAGTGTGTACTGCTCAAGTAGATGGAAGAGGGATTTGAGTTTGGTACAAATGTTTTTTCCCATCTTTATTTTATTGGATATTCGCACTTCCAAAGGAGGGGGGGGGGAGGATCTAGACGAGGTAGGAATGGAAGAAGACAGCAACCAACGAAGAGTAGTAATTCTGTCTTGTTTACTTTCTATGTGGAAATTCTATTTTGATTCATTCGCTCTCGCTCTGAGCCGACCCGAACTTGCCCAAGACTTAGTTCTCACCTCTGTATTGTGCTGAGCGGTGTATATCAAGGTGTGTGCCCCCTTTTTTGACTTGAGATTTCTAATTATAAACGAAAGCAAAACTCGCTTCTTCACCCCACCTCATATCTGGCTTAAATTGTTACCTTTAAAAAATTACTTCTCATTTCGCTGTATTCAGGAAAGTTGGAGGAATAACAAATCGAGAATAACTAATTTAAAATCTGCATGCATAAAGTGTGTTAGAATGTTGAGGAAAATAATTACTAAGCTTATTTAAGAACGCTTTCTCCACCACTTAGTTTAGGAAGAAGATTAACAGGGGAGGTGGTGGTGGGGGGGGGGGGAATCTCCCTAATGTGAAACTGGATTTCTGCCTGACCTTTTATGTTTGTTAGATTTAACCAGTGCGATTGGTCGTTCTATCTGATTGGTATGCACCAATGAGCATTGAATTTACAACTTCCGACTTCATAGAAGATGACTTTAATCGTTGCGCCAACGGTGCATACAATATTGGTAGTAAAACTTCCCTCAAAATGTGTCTTCCTACGTAGATCGCTGCTATAAATCACGAAATTTTGTCAAAAAAGTGACCTCCTGTTTATTTTGACGTTCATTCACGCAATATATGAAAAATTGAATTATATTTATTACGAATGTTTAACAATGTCGGAAAATAATAAGTAGTATACGTAATCTGGTGTGTGTTCGCAAGCTAAAACGAGCTTTAAATGATAAGTACTTTGAACGATCTTTAATGTTTTATTTTATTAACCATCCCATTGTATAGGGAATTTAAGAGCTAAAATAATAGCTTACTTTCAATTTTAATATCGACTATCGTAACTAATTTATTTAAATATATTGGGTTATTTATAGTCCTAGAAAGAGGTAAAATAGTGGTAAACCTTATGAATAAGTTATCTTTCTTTTTGGGATATTCAAAATTCAAAGCAAATTCAGCATAATTTTATCTGCTAAAACAATTATGCAAATCTGTATACATATAGAATAAAATTTGCTCAATTGAAAAGGTATTACTTGATTGTAGATGCGATTACCCCGCCGCAACATCAAACGAACCTGAGGGTTTCGGGAAAAGCGGCGAAGGAGAAGCGTTTTAGTCGTGACAAAGGCGTTAAATTCAAACCAGATGCTGAATTAGACCACCAAGTTTGGATGCGCTTCTCAAAACCGTGAGTCATCTCCAAAGTCGTAGCTCATGCCCCCAATTCCCTCCAGCACTGCGATAAGTGTAATCATAAAAGTTCCACAGCTCATTTAAGACACAACTCTAGAAAGCCCTTTCTGAGCTAATCCATCTTATTTTTTTTGTCTCAGGAATAACTTAACGTTTAACTTTCAAGAGATGGAACTCCTCGTCTATGTGATATTCAATATACTCAGTACTGACTCACTTGCCGTATGTCCGTATAAGTGGACAAATACGAAATCAAATAGGTCTTCAAATAAAGCCTACATCAAGGTTTGAATCATAAATTCTATCACCTTCTGGGCACTTAATATTTTCATCCTCATTTTCTACTGAGTTCTCTTGCCTAAACTAGTTTACCTCATTCTCACCATCTTTAGATTGATTTCGTTAATGATTATTTGTACCACAATACCCCAATTCAAGCATTTTATTCTTCCTCAATTCCCTGTTCACTGTTGAAGATCAGGGATTTGAAGGGCTTTGGAGGCATCAATCAAGACTTGGTTAACTCTGAAAATCATCCCAAGAACAACATTTCTCGAAAAAACTAACTATTAGAAGCATTATAATCAGTATTCATCAATGAAAATTGTGTGGTTATTGGCAGTACATTGGTTCATTTTTAATTTGGAAAAAAAAGCGACTTTGTTGTGATGATTGAATGGTTCTTTATAAAAGATGTCAGCGGGACCACTTTGTGTTGAGAAATTTGCTTCAATGAGCACAACTTAAAAATGTCAATTACTACATCGGAATCATTAGTGAAAGTAATTTTGATAGTGGTATAGCGTTTTCTAAGTTTCAAACAGTTCAGCTTGCACGCCAAATATCTTAATTGCTCTTTAATTTAATTACGTGTATGAGTTATATTGGCAGAAAGTAATGGTATAGTGATTAGGGGGCATTAATATGCCGTTACAAATTCTACATATTTATTGAACTATGAGCGACATATTCAGGCCTGTCTCGGCTAGGTTAACATGCGCGTACGTGCTGGGTCAAGTACCTGAACAATTAGTTGAGGCAAAGCTATCGGGGCAGTCAGGAGTTAACTGACCAACTGTGCAATGAATTTGAATCCGTCTTGCTTTCCCTTTGAGTGAATTGTAGCTGAATATATTCAATGAAAGATTATATCAAAACGGTAGAACTAGGTCCTGTAACTGTACCACAGCCCACGAGCAACAGCTTCTTATCACCTGCTTTCCAAAAATATTGCCTTAACCCTTTAATGCCTGAATTATTTTTTTGAAAAATGCACCCAATCGCACTCACACGTGTCTCACTTCAGACTGATGACGGCCGACGTGAGGAGTTTTGGTGGTATCAGTCGAAGGCTATAGACGCATTGAACATGTTTCAAACGGCAATAGCGCCTTCTGTTACGAGTCTAGTACCAATGGAGCTTATTTTGAAAGAGGACTGTATGATCTCAACGACGTTAAAGGGTTAAATACTAATGCTGGAAATGACACCCCGATATGCTTTGGCTTAGACATTTGAGGCATCAAGAAATATGGCATTTGAATTCACTTTGACTCTCCTTATCATTAGAGTGGCTATGAGTAATAACATTAATTTTTCTGCTAACGACGCGATTCAGCTAGGCGTATTCTATCTAATTGATATGGGGGTGAATTCCTTTGCCCAAAACGAGTGGAATCCACTGCGCTTCTGAAAGATGGACTAAGGTAGGAGAATTTATCTTAGGTGTGCTTAGAGTTAAAGTCCACCACCAACCCTTATTGGGGTCGGCCATTCTAAAGGCCTCTCACTTTAATTAAACTATGCGAGTGTTCGATGGTAGGCCATGAGGATCTAGTGGGTAATTTCTCCCGCTCACTACTATGGGAGAGAATAATAGGCTACCGCTGAACTTATTAAATTATTTTTTGGAAGCCAAGTTTTTGTTTGACTTATATATATATATATATATATATATATATATAACTATAGTTGCATACATTTTAATTTTTTTTTCAGAGTGAATTATATTGACGCGGATCGTATTCTACGGGAGCTCTCTGAGATCATGGGTATTCGTCCTCCTATAGCACGGTTCCAGTAAGTCATTTACCAATCTTTATATAAACTTTCATGTTGAGTTAAGTACTATTGACTCTCCAGAAAAGTAAAAATTAAAACAATAAATTTTATTAGAAAAAATGGCTTTGGATAGAGAAAATTGGTGGGGCAATCGTAAAAGTGGACATTGACAAAATGAGACGTCACTAGATGGACGTTCACCGGTGTTCATAGCCAACGATATTTTGAAGTTAAGTCAATAAAATGATTAGTGGGATGCGCGCTCCACCTTATACACCATCTTCATGCTTGAGTCAAGTGTTGTTGGTACTTTCCGAGATAAAAATAACAATTATGCTATATTTTCTTCCCATCATTCTTTGAAGTAGCGCTCAATTCTCCTATTGGTTATGCGAGCCATTGCGAAGTGCACTATGCTGTACATGTTTCAAGTTAATTTATAACAAGTTTTCGTTACACTAACAAGAACTCGTGCTTTTTCCTCACTTCTGGCTAGGATTTCGGCTTGTAACTCGTAAAGGAAACAATTCTCTAATTTTCTATTATTTGTATGGCTTTGCTATTCTAATCAAGCTCCTAGAGGTAATATAGACTATTCACAAGATAAGTAGAGGCAGATTGAGGAGTATTAATAGTAATTACGAAGAATGAGATGACTGTTTACACCAGCCTTTTGGGGTTGAATACGCCTCACCATGCTTTCTAAAAATAACTTGAAATGAGTTCCACACGCCCACGCGTAGTTCGCCATTTATATCGGCAGGTGATTGGCTAGATGTGCACATACGTGCGCACAAATTAATTGTGGATAAGAGCGAATGGAAATTTGAGGAGAGGGTTGGGATTATTATTTGCGCTAACGGTTCTTTCAGACATTTTCACGCTTTGCAGGGTTGCCGGAAATTAGGGGTGTATTTCTTTCAAAATGTTTATTTGGTATTTATATAGCGTAACGATAAAATTATAAAGAACTAATAGTATAATATGTACGCACTTAATAAATAGTCCTCAACTAATTAATTATTCTACGAATTTAATCTGCTGAAGGGATGTTCCTTTAAATTACCATACTACTGGTTCTTGTTTTTTATAACATCTTGCTTAAATTAATTCTTTTAATCTAATTAAAATATCACATGCATCAGGAAGCTTTGTCCGATAATGTAAATACTCGAATTTCGCATCATTTATTTATAACAAATGGTGGTTTTCATGTTGGATATCAGTAGCTCTTTAGTTGGCTTCGGGCTTCACAGAGGGGAGGTACATCAGAGTCACAAAATGTTAAGATGGGGAACTGAAGTGTAATTCACAAATCTAAAAGAGACAGACACAGAGGTAGAGATAGAAGTAAGGTGAGTACTGGGGAAGTGGTCGAATATGACATACAGTCGGATCATGGTAGTTAGAAGTCAAAAGCTTATAGAGTTTTTCGCCATATGAGTATGCGTTATCCAGGATGCACCACGCGGAGGTAAGTATATCGTTTCACAATTGCAACTTATTTGGTTATAAGTTTGAAGTATTTTTTTAAATTTTAAGATATCGAGCTTATTGACAATAGAATACTGCATTATCTCTGGTTGCCGTTTAGTATATAAAACAGCAGGTTAACTTTGTGATATAATTTCGGATATTTATGCTTCCACCACGTTATTCCACAAAATGTATTGCAGTAAACAAAGTGTTAATTGAGTTTCTAACTGGTTAGTCACCTCGCTACTGAGTTAGAAGGCCAATAAATTGCTGGATTTTTACTGTGAGATTCTAGAGAATTGACGTTTTAATGGTATTCTTCCGATTAATATTTTATTTCAGCATATGCCCACTAATCTTTGAGCAACCCTAGAGATGGGATTGGCCTCTACGTCCAAGCGTTCAAACTAAGATGATTTCAGATGCTTCCTATGTTCCGTTTTCAGAAATAAATTATTTTTTTGGTAAATACGGAATTTTGGAAGGGAAATATATATATATATATATATATATATATATACGTTGACGCTTTCAAAAACCTGTAACTGCTGTAACTGTCACCCAATCGTGCCTTTAGTGGTTACGTTTTTACCGGACTACATGCTCTCAAATACCTCAAGCCATTAGAAGTTTTGAGAAAAATAACGAATTGTAAATAAATCGATGGTTCCTTGTCGCCGGTTTTGGAGATTTACTCCCTTTCGCCTCCCACTAACGCTTTCCATTGGACTCTTATTTGAATAAAGGGCATTTTTGCTAAGATCTTTCATTCATAAACTTATTCACACTGCTATATAGCTAGCATTAAAGGAGAAGTGAACTTTCTTTGCTTATCTCTTAGCTCAGTATTATCACATTTTTGGCAAAAGGAAGCCGGGTTTGTTCCAAGCATTTATTTCAATTTTCTTCCGCTACTATTTTTAACAACCTCCAAGGCAAAAGACGTATATATCGTGTTACCAGATGGCTGATCTAGAATATCACGGGCATTGGGAGTCAGAACTAATGTAAACAGCATGACAAATTATCATGCTCTCTGGGCATCACAGAGTACATATAGAACTAATACTTGCAAAGAGCAGGAGGTCAAAGGGAAGACATAACTGGAGTTTTATTTATAAATATCGTGTCCTGAACCAAAAGGTTGTGACCTGAGATACTCTGCGGTGTAGGAATTGCAGCTTATGTGCCCCCCCATTTCCCTTTTGAGTTCCTCCAATGTGTTCTTGTGAATTTATCCATATGTGCAGTGATCTTGAGAGTTATGACCAGGTAAACTCTGCTGCGTCACACCCATTTGACTATGTTTCATTACTAAACCCAGCTCTCTTCTCAGGCTTCCCAATACCGTTTTCCGGCTCCCTGATAGTGTCAAACCTAAGGCATACTCTACTTTTTCTTGGAGTCACTAAAGTGGAATAAAATGAAGTAAAACGGATATCAATATTGAGGTGATTTTTTCGGGGATTTACCCCACTACTTAGATCGATGTCAAAAAATACCCGCATTCACTTAACAATTTCATAATGACTTTATCCACTTTTCCACACTTTCTTCTCCTCTTTTTAACTTCAGACTCGACAAAACCGGTCGTGTACTCCTTTTTTTCGTGCCATTTGAGTCGGGAATGCTGGGCAAGGACATTGTCAGCATGATGCGTATGTCTACGCCTTTTCTAATCTTTGCCATCCCCACTAATGCTTCCATCTAATTCTTACCTATTATCTCAATAGCGGAAACACTGAAATGGATAAACAAAAACTCTATTCTTCAATACGGTGTTGGATTCCCTGTAAGTTGACTAATATTCCAAATTATCATATGCATATTTCATAAAACCGAATTCTAACAAATGGCAATAGTTTACCAATCGATTGTTAAATTGTAGTATCGTGTTTAAGAAGAATTTTTTGTTGGTTTAAATCACTCGACTTGTAACGTTGTGTAAATTGCTTTTGTTCGCTAAACTCATTGATAAATGGAATTAAATTAATGTTTATTCATGCTATCGCTCTTCTTGTTGCTATGGGGCTATCTAAAGTTCAGTGGCCTTGGATTTAAATAAGTGGTAGGAGGGCCACATGTAACCTTAATATTTTGGAACTGCTGATATTTAGTTTCCACAAATGCACTTTTAACAGCAAAGCGATTTAATGGACAGTAGACCTTCAGACTGTTCTCGTAACAAAATTATCTGAATTGGAGATATCCCTCAATATGACAAAAAAATTATTCTTTTGAGTAAATGTCATTTCGTTCTGTTCTCCGTGACAGGGTGTTTTATCAAAAAGAAGCGTTTAATGTATAATGGGACTTAAAACATGCCTTATGCTATGCCCTCCCCCCCCCCCTCCCCCAAAGGACATTTGATAGTGTTAAGCAAGAAGTACTCTATCTTTGATAACATGGAACAGAGGTAAATCGGGCTGAGTTGACATCCTCCTCGAATTTATAATCCTCATTTCTCCAAGAGAGGAAACATAATAATACGGTAGCAGGCTAGTTTTAATGAGAAGAAAAGAAGGATAAAGGTATCCCTGTTCATCATAAACCAAATATGACTTTGAGGAGGAATAAATTTGTAAAAAATAGAAATTAGATACCGGGCTCAAATATGTCAACCGCTGAAAGGCTGGAAAACGATAAGAAGAGAGGAGTAATAGTAATAATTAATGGTAACAATCAATAGGCATGTCGAAATTGTATTCCAGTCATCATAAGAACTCTTCCATCGACAAGAACTGAATGGTGACGGTAAACGGATGCAAAATTGAAATGACCCATAGGAAAATCCCTACTCATGTTGAAATAAAATCAGCATAAAGGTACTAGTGAAAGTCAATTGTGGTCATATTGCACAAGGAAGTAGAAATAACTTGGTGAACATCGTAAAGTCCAAAAAAAGTTTTTGGAAAACTTACACAAGCACTGCAAATCACGTTGAAGTGGGCTCTGGGATTAAATATTTTCTAAGTAAGTCCCACACGAGCTTTAAAGGATTTCTAATCGATTTCGATTTTGCTGTTTATATTATTATTATTATTATTAGTATTATATTATTTATATTCTATTGTTTCTACTCCTACTCTAACTTAGAATTCAAATTTAACGCCTTATAGTTCAGATAATATGAAATTTTTAAAACCTCCCTTTTACCTTATGAAACTGATGTATTCAAAGGGCTTAAGCAAATTGACTTGTTGACTTACTAATTATGAAAGTTAACTACATTTATAATTGGTTAGTGTGAATTGGAATTTTAAGCTGGAGACCTCCACATAATGTCCATGTTATCCGATTTTAGTGACTATTTTGTACACTATGCTTACAAAATCTATATTTCTGTCATATTCTAAGGGTACAATATGTGATGAATATTAGACTAACAGTATCCAAAAGATTCACCGACCTTTAAGCCTTAGTTGTATGATTAAACGACAGTTGACAATGTGAAAAACATTGTCAAAATCTTTTGAAGTAATGTGCGCCTTTGAAAATTAACATGAATTCAATTTCTTTTTTTGGAGATAAATAAAATGAACACACTAAGAATTCTGCTCTATGAGTCATTCAATGTTTATAACTTTCCCATGTTAAAAAGTAACCCTTAGAAGAAATGATTGATGAAATTTCTATTTTGAATATTATGTACAAATTTGAATATGCAATTAAACTGCTCACACTGCTCATTTCGTATTACAATACTATCCCTCCCACTCAGAGTCTCAAACTTTGAAATTTTTTTACTGAACAGTCCTCAAAAGAAGGAAGACCAGGTCGGTCTGAAAGTGTTTCAGTTGGCACGGGGCGACTGTCCAAGATCGAATTCGTCGCTGTTATAGTCGTGTGTGCTTTGGCAGTTCTTGTTGCTCTCCTCCTATTCGTGCACATACTCATCAAACGTCGAGAAAAACTCAGTGGCTACATACCTGCTGTTGATAAGACCTCGCGAAAACCGTCTGAGAGACCCTTGGTTGGAACCGCTTCACCATCCCCTTCGGGCTCAATTGTAAATGTCAGTGTCATGAGTAGTGGAAATGACTTCTTGACAAAACAACCCCACCAAGAGTCCACATCGTCTTGCTCTACTGGCTCACCACCTCCCTATCAGGAATCCATGGAACACGGCGGAATTCAGGTAAACAAAAAACGCTTTCTTCTTTATGCAAAATGATCGAGCTCCGTATTAATGCCGGAAAAGTTTTTAGTAATACTTAAGTTTCTCCAATTTGCAAATTTGAGCTGAAAATGCTGTTTTCTCAAGAAGGTACGTTAATTTCAAATAAATGAATTCAAATAAATTTATTTATTTGCGATATTATAGTGCTGACCACAAAACTTTCCACTGCTTTGAACTTTTGATATCTATTATTCACAGGGCAAAAAATAATTTCAGAAACAGTGGATTCTGACTTTTTTATTCTAGCTATGGAGCTGTCTTTCTAAATCCTTTAAGCGGCTCAAAGAATAAGATTGGCGCAGTTGTAGTAAGTAGAAACTTGGCCAATAATATGGATTAAATGTGGTCGAAACCTTTTTAGATGACAGAAATGATTAGAAATGATTAGTGATAAGATTTCGAAGACGCTAAACATCAAAGACGGAACATGACTGATGTCTGAAGAAGTAATTGTTTGTATATAGACCTGACTGGGGGGGGGGGTAGATTCCCGGCGCCCCCAGACTGATATAGTGATTCAAATGACTGGACTTATTTAATCTATTCGATCGACGTGGCCTCTGTTCAAATAAATTTATTACGAAACGTGTCTGTCCATCAACAGTTGATTTTAAATATCAATCTACGACAAAAGATATAATTTCTTAGCTGAAAAACTGAGATTCAAATTCATTTTGTTAATTTAAGCAAAATATAATGTGAGCGTATTTCAATTAAATTTCAACTTCAGATAAGTGTTGAATTGTGTATCTTCCATGACACTTAAAAAAGCCAGTTCAGTTGATCCCAGCGCTTCGAGAGATTAAAAATGCTAATGGAATCACAATTTGCTAATGTGATGAAACATTTTCAAACTTTCTGATGAATAAAAAATTTAAAATCTTTAAGTGTTTGACATTCAAACATCCTATTCTTGAACTTAATCCGATTTGGAAATTTACGTACCCTTTGCAATTTATTAAATCAATAGATAAGCTTTTTTAATCATTATTTGTAGTTTTACTTTTTGTTTTGGTCCAGCGGGAGTTTTCTTTAAAAGAATGTCGTTACTTCATGAAAAATTGAGCTTTATTGAGTGCAAAGAGTACTCCAGTGTATCTAATTTTATCGCCTTTTAATATACCTAACGACACAACTTGCACTTTTTATCCCTCACGGTAGCATCTTAGGTTTTGAACCTTAATGCCTTTTAATTAAATTTATAGTTATTTACAAAATTAATGCAGTAAGCAACTTAATTAAGCGAAATATTTCCCAATGCTTGTAATATTTTGTAACCTGAGTTCTTCATTAAGCATGGTTCATATCTCTCTCCTTAACAAAGGTTGTAAATTTGTTGACGCCTTATGATTACATTAGTAGACATCTTATTAAATGAGTGGATATAAATAACCAATAGCGCAATACGATTTGGCACTCCGAATAAGTTAGGGGGGACTAAATCCTTGTAGTGGGAAGACGTTGACGAAAACAGACTTACGGTATTAAATGCATTGCAGCCAATTTTCATTTTAAGGCCCAAATTAGAAAATTATTAAATTTAAATATTGATACTAATTTTGTTATAACCTGTCTTGTTTCCAAAGTATTTGACGTTCCCAGAACCCAATTAAGACTCATAAATGACTTAAAGATTGGCATTAATTCAAAACTGGTTAAGACGACCCCGTAACACTGTGCAAGTGTTTAAATGGGACAAGTTAGTGAATAAGTGACAAAAAATTAGGAAGTTTGTGTTTTATATGAACCTTTCATTTCTAACCAGCACTTATGCTTGAAAGCAGCAAGGAATGAAAGACAATTTTATTAGAAATATGGGAAAGAGTGGTAGTAAATTTATTTGCAACATCGGGAGATATTTTGGTCTAAAGTCTTTTCAGAGTGAACATTTATTTGTGCCTATATGATCCCAACTATTCTGTAAAAAAATAAAAAAATCCGCTGTTTGTTGAGAAATCGTGGTCTTTGTAAAATTGTCAGAAATGGCTTTTTCTAGATTTATTTGGTTCCAAATACTCACAAATTTTATCCCGATGGAGGTATTCGCTTCCATTCTTGTTCGAAGTGTTAATGGAAAAGTTTGGGTGATTTGAAAGCAACTTTAAGGAAAAATATGCCTTTACTTAAATGAATTTAAAGATCTAATCGCTCCAATTCTTTATAATCTTTGAGTGTACGTGTTATACCCTTTAGTATGGATTATAACAAGAAGTTGAATATAATTTTCACAGGATTTTGAAGCATTCGATTTCCAATATTTGCTTCCTAAGGCTAAGAATGAATTTACTCTGTTCAGATAATCGGTTAAAATAATATTTTGACTTTAGTGGGAGTTTTTGAAACATAGCTTCCCATAAAATTAAAATTGATTTCGTCTTAGGTTGTCTTTTTACCAAGCCCCTTATGTGAGATTTTATCAATATGTCCATTGACCTAGTGCTAAAAAGCATTATATTTCTCTAATTATTTTCTAATCATTCTAAAAGATAGTTTGCCATATATGGTTTTTAATTTCAAAGCGTATATCCTTACTAATTGGCTAATACGGCACTCCAGTTTAAGAATATCATTCATCCTATTGGCCGTTTTAAACATTTTGTAAAGGCCATTGACTCAATGCAATGTTATTTAGCATGAATGTGCGATGCTGTCTATTAGCCACATCGCCAAAGAAATCTAATGACCCTCTCTTTCCGGACTCAACTTTTCTTTCTCATTTAATTCTGGGAAGATTAGTATATTGAAAAGAGCATATTTTAAGGAATTTAAAAGCCTGTGTCTATTGAAAATAATAGGATAAGTGTTGTAGATGAATACATCTTTAGATTTAGTCTCAAGGGAAGTTGAAACGGAACAGGGAAATTGATGCCTCAGCATCCATACAGAAGAACACCTAGCTGGACTAGGTAAGTTGGAATGATAGCGCATGGAAAAGGGTGGTTAATTATGAGAAATGGAGTCCAATCATTTCATTTATTCCATGCAAAATAGGGACCGTATTGTAACCGTGAGTTTCCATCCCTATTTCAAAAATTTATTTGCCAGTTAATAGATGAGATTTCATCACATCCAATTAAGAAGCCATGAATCGTTAAATAACTTCTCAAAATTATTTTTTAATAATTGAATTTCGAATCAAAATTTGAATATGGGCTATTTAATTATGGTTCTTTAAGAATGGATTTGTTTAAGTTCACGATAATGTCTAAACGATTCCTATCAAAATATTTTAATGAAATCATTTCTGAAGTGATGTCAATGCCCCTTCCTCTATTTATACTTAAATTATTACACCATTCTGAATACCAGCAATGGCTGTAAACAAAATAATTGGAATTACTTCATTATTATTCAATTTCCGTTCTGTTACTTTAATTTTTTGATTCATAAGTAGTATGCGCAATTTTTGATTGATTAATACTCTTTTAAAAGTTTTATTTTAAATTGCACTCCAATGGATTACAATATTGAGCAAAATTTTGATATCTACTTTTGATTTGGGATTACAGGGTACCTATCGCCCTCCATTGGTAAGTGCAGGGGGTTCTGAGGCATCCACCGAGTCAATGGCGGCTTATTCAAACAAGCGTACGATCCAGCTAAACAGCAATTCCTCCTGGTATCACGATGAGTGCCGTTTTTGTCTGCATGATACTTCTTGTCGTCTTGTCTATCAGTTTTTTGATTATGTGACTGTTCATTTTGAGGCCCGTTTTAATTGACAAGTTTTTTTGTGAGTAATGATTTAGAGCAAAAGTTGGAAATGTGATCCCTTAAGACATATTAAATGATTGGCTAAAATATGTCAGAAGGGGTCAAAAATGTCATGATTTATAATAAAAGGAGTTCCGAATGTATTTCCTTCGCACATAATAGAAATTCTCTTTTGGAAAGTTTCAAACGGGGCTTTGTAATGAAATTTAGTAATCCACAATAAGGTTTTGACAACGAGAATGGATGTTAACTTGGATCCACCTGAATCATAAAAGATAATAACATGGGTCTTAATGATTCACGTGAATCCTATCATATCATTTATATCAAATGGCAGACGTTTTGATAGTTATCATTAGCCCTTTAGCCGACTTCGAAATTCACAGAGGGGAGGAAGAAATAAAGTCTCAAAACGTGGGAAGGAGGGAACAGAAGAGAGATTCATAAACTTAAAAGAGACAGACAGACACAAAGGTGGAGAAAAGTAAGGTGAGTACTGTGAAAGTGGCCGACCATGCGTTACAGTGGGATCATGGTAGTTTGAAGTGAGAAATCAACTGCCGGTTTATAACCTTTTTTGCCGCATGAGTATACGTTGCTCAAGGTCAAAAAGATGAGGTGGTTATAGATGTTGTTGCCGTTGTTCTTCAATATTTTAAATGATGATTATGTAGTTCTTTTGATGGATCTTGCAGTGTGTTTAATCTTGCACACATAAAGTACACTTTATTTTCTAACTGAATTGCCATTGGCTAGCAAGTTTTACCAAACACCCATATCAGGTGTGCGTGCACAGATAGCAGAGGTGTGCTTATGTGCCGAATTAGAGTGGATCTATGGTTCAGATCAATTTGGCTTATCTCAAAAATACGACATGCTCTCTTCGCGTCGATTAGGCTCTATGAGCTCGATCGCTTCGTCAGATATTTCAAATAGTACGTCATTACCTACAGATCAAGTGCAAAGTGATCGAGAGTTTGAGGTGTTTCGGAAGTATCGAAATGGTTGCGAACCTCGGTCTACAAGACCTGCTGCAAGAGGAAGTGTTTTACCGAATTCTAACTCAAAGAATGGATGTAATTATACCGATGTTTACACAGTTAAACCGTGAGCAATTTTAACTTCCATGCATTTGTGAGTAGTGATTATTCAAAAGTTTATACTTATTAGCATATTTCAAGGAATTCAATTCTTAAAATCGGGTACAGCCTGAATATTAAATACATTTTCATCTTTGAAAATCTCATTTATATGGGCTAAAACTCATGCTTTATCGTTGAATATCGGAATTTAAAATGATTTCAATATTTTAATTTTATACATTTCAAATTATTGCCATTATTCTGCGACTATCCTATTTAAGTAATACACATGAACTGTAGCATAAAAAATTTGTAGGTTCAAAATGACAGTGTCAAATTCATTATTTTTTTTCAGACGCACACTCTAATAGCCTATTATATGTTGCGCTTCTTTTAATAATTAAGAATTGATTAATAAATAATCGGTCTTCATACCGTTGCTGCATAATTAAAATTAACGAATACATCAATGTAAAGATCTAAACGAAGATATCAATAGGCATTCTCGATTGCGAAGTCCTGTTTAAACGAATAGTGTATTTTAATTATCAACTATAGATTTAAAAACTGCAACAACAATTTCAATTCATTTTTCTTCAGTTTAGGAAGGAAACAGTTCACTTAGCTTCAGTAGAAATTTATGTCTGAGATGTCTCCGGTTTAATATATCTCGTCATATTTAGCCAAACTTTTGAGATAATTTTTCTGGAATATTTAAAAAAGGGAGAGATTTACTGATATTTATATTTTATTAACTTTCTTCCTTTTCCTCACAATAAGTCTATTGCTTTGATAACATCATTTTGTCTCAATACTGCCTGCACATTATGAGTCCAGATACTGAACTTCTTAAAACAGTGCTATTTGCTGAGGATTGTAATGCGTTTCAACACGCATGCATCAGTTAGCTCATATAGCAGTGAGTAGGGCTTTTTAGACAAATCTATACTTTCTATTTTTTTTCTATTTTAAACCCCTTCGGACTAAAAAAACAGGTCATCATGATAGATAAGCTAGTTTACTGCTCATCTCTTGCAATTTCAACTCAGCGCGTGGCTGTAGTGATAGACGTAATTTCTAAAAATGAAGATTATTTGATGATAAAATTAGTGTATTTACTTACTCCATCATTGACGCATGAGATTTCTTTGGGAGGAGGGGGGGGGGGTGGATTCAACTGGCCTTCGTAATTAATTTTTATGAATGAGGTGGCTAAACGCGTAATCACGTATTTGGAATAATGGGGTGGTGAGGTCAGCAGACAGTATTAACCTCAATGATGTGATGGTCTATAATTAGAAAAGGCTATTTATCAAGCTCAAAATAGGTGTTGTACTAAAACATCCACTGATTTATAAAGAACATTTTAAGTGCGAAAACAGATGGATTTCTCTTAGGAAGAAAACTTCCAAACTATTTTATGTACTCTCCATTAGTTTTAGCCTTATGGTTATAGTATGGAGACAATTGTATGGAGGCTGAATCGAGTGTTGAGTATATACATAGAAATTGCATTCTGGAATGCTCATTAATTAATATATTTCTAGCCAAAGCTAGTAGCATTAAATTGTAATTATGATGGAGGATGACTGAACCTATTCAAAGAGTAGGCATGATCACATTCTCCATGCGAATACTTGGGTTTTTAGTGAATGAATCGCAGTGGTGCCATTTTGTTCCTTTGGTCGCACTCATATCGATCCAGACAATTTTATCTAATGCAAATTTGCTTCTATAATTGTCCTATCTCATTCATTAGTCCATATGCACTCATTCCCACCGCGTCTCATCCAAATGACTCACAAAACCCCTCCCCC